GCGAAGTTTTCTAGTTGAGATGAGAAACAAAAAAAAAAAATGCAAACGATGTGTTATCTATTCAATACACTGTCTAGTAGCGCGTTTACGTCGCTTGCGTCGTCGTCATTTTCATCATTCGAGAACACACAAAGTACACACGCACACACATTTTACACTTGCACACGATCATCGCGTAATTAAAGAAATATTAAGAGTCATGATCAGCTTTTGACATGTAAAATTTAAGATTCGAGAAATAGAGATCGTCACAATCTCTTTGAAAGAATTAAACGGAGAACGAGGCGATTATTATTCTCATTAATATTATTATTATTATTACTATTATTATTATTATATTGTACATGGAAAGAATTTTTTTATGTTCAAGATTCGATGCATCGATAGGTGTTTTTCCACAGAAATTTCCACGCGGAGGATCTCACGATCAACACACACACACACACACATACACATACACACACACAGAGAGGCGACACTTTAACACATTTAGTAATTTGCGTGCACAATCTCTATTTATCGTAAGACAAGTTTTCACGACGCGAGACATGCTGCGTACATCAGCAGGATTAGCAAAAAAGAAAAGAAAAGAATATATCATTGATGATTTTCGTCGACGATACGCGATCGAGATTTCCATTCGTTTTGTCGGGACATGACGATAGAACAAAAAGAAAAAAAAAAAGAAAACCACAGAAACACCATAATACACATTCGTTTGTGCCTATGTTGTCAGTTACGTCTGGACGATTCTGTTAAAAAAAAAAAAAAACCGTAATGGACACTAAATATCTATAGATACACTATTCACGCGATTCTTGTTCTTGTATTCGATCGCTTGGCTAGGCCGAGCGTGTGTTTCATCCCCTGCGACGAACCTCTACGCAACTAAGAACGATTTTTTAACATGTTTCTTTGTTTTTTCTTTTTTTTTTCTCTTTGCTTTTTTAAACCGGCCACGAACCGCCCTTTTTTCTCGTTCTCGCGTCAGAAAACAGAAAAAAGGAACCATTTTATATGTGTTTTTTTCTCTTTGTATCAGCAGCGTGCGAACGACAGACAAAGAAGTAAAACGAGAACGATCTGTAAAGCGAATTATAAGTAGAATTCGACCTTTTTCGTGCGCATCACCAACCATCACCAACCATGCATAAACTCTTATACGCCCGACAGAGAGAAAGCGCAGTCGTACGGGGCTTCAGAAGTTCTCTATGGAAGTTAATTGTACACTCTTTGCCAAGGATTTATACGATCAAGAAGAAATGTACGAAGAGATTTGTGCATTTTTCTTTTTCTAGGATTATATATTACACACGATGGAACTGTAAAAACGAAAGAAAAGAACCCCTGTGCAGCTGGACCTTTCAGGGCACGTCGCGCGTGAGACTACTTTAGCCGCCATTTTGCACGTTTCTACATATCATATCGCGTCGCAAGATACCACAGAGAGGAGGCTGCCGACGTAACGATTCATTCAGTTCCTTTTTTCGTAAAAGGAGAAAGACGAGCGTTGATTAGGGAGAAGGAAGAAAGGAAAAGCGAAAGAAAGAAATAATAATATGGTAGACAGATGAGAGAGCGAGAGCGAGCGAGCGAGAGAGAGAGAGTGAGTGAGTGAGCAGAGTGAAAGGGGATAACAAAAGTGTGAAAAAAGAGAAATGCTAAAGACATTTGTTTCAAAGTTTTATGAACGTTGATGTAATGTAAATTAAGTTTTTAAACGATTAACACGGACAACAAATTCATTTTTCCTTTGGCGATATGTGTACTGTGCCTCGTTGCCACGAGAGAATCAATATTAGGTGAATTTATAACCCAACTTCGTTCTTTATTTTTTTTTTTTCCTCCAGTCTGAACTGTCAGCGTGATCCATCTTTCGATACCGATAATTGTGGCGAAAAAGAAAAAAAATAATCTTTACTGGCAATTGTATAACGATTTATACTTTTCCATTACGTTACTGTTCTTTTTTTTTCTTTTTCTAAACGAAGAGAAAAAATTAAGTAAATCGAGATATTCGACGGGTTAGACGTCCATCACGGAAACCCTTTTCGACAATGGTACTTTTCCAGCATTCCGTCACGCGTTAATCCGTTATCAATCAGGTCGACGCTATAATAATGGCCACTTCTCTATTTGCTTATCATAAAAATCTGCAATTGCATGATAATTCGTCTCGTTTAAAGTTCATTCTCGAATCTTGTGTTTTGAAAATCGATCGAATTGAAACAACCATTATTTATACGTCCACTTGGTAACTTGAACGCAATTTGTTCTCCTCCCGCCGTGAGAAAATGAATCGCTTCGAATTGAACACCGGGCAAGCCGTCGAAGACGCATTTCACAAGAAGCTCGAATAAACTGTAGCTTTGAATTTCCGATCGAAACACGAGGCAATGATCGTAGATATAATAAATTGTTATTTAACGCGCAACTAGCTTCATATGTATGTTCGTCCATCGACATCTTATTAAGTACGCGCGGATTACTGTGCGCTTTTTTTGTTCTGTTTTTTTTCTTTCTGTACGATCCTCCGACTCAATCTGTGAAAAGTAGAATTGAAGAGAAAGAAACGGAAGGAGGAGGGATTTATCGTGAACGTAAAATGATATCACGCACGGCTTGCAAATATAGATTGTTGGTTATTTGTCGTGATTATTCTATTAATAAATAGATTGATCGATTTAGTTCATTGATTCAGTCTTTCTCATGTTTCTGCGAAACTGCGCGCTTTCGAACATCGTTTCTACCAGCAGATCTCGTCAGACAGATTTGCGCGTGAATTATAGTTGAGAAGAACCGAAAGAGACTACGACAGTCGCGTAGAAAGGAATCGAATTCACGGTGAAATCTTCGATGAACTGAATTATACACGCCAAGTGGATAGATTCCATTGTTTCTCTTAATTTCGTTTCTTCTTTGCCTTTTTTTTTTAATTCCTCCGTGATAATTGAACGCTACCCGACCGCAAAGGTACACACAGACATTTTGCAGAATGTGGAATGGAGTCCGTGTAGAATACTGAAAGTTTATACATATAAATACTTACATGTATGTGTGTATATATACATGTATATGTATGTGTTATATACACATGCAGATTAATTTTTAATGATAGCAATTAACGAGATTGCTGCATTGTTGTAAAGAGAGAGTGTGTGTGTTCATGAAAGAATGAAAGAGAGATATGGGGAGAGAAAAAAGGCGATTTAGACGAAGAAAGATAGATAGATAGAGTGAGAGAGAGAGAGAGAGAGAGAGAAGCAGAGAGAAAAGAAGTAAGAGAAAGAATAATTGACTCTTCGATAGAAAGAGAAAGGGAGAAAAAGAGAAAACCTATACTCGTCGTTTTTGCCTGACATATTTTTCATCACCGTGTTACCACTGCAGAGACCACCAGTTTCTTTTGTTGTTTTCTTTGTCTACTTATCAAACTATCATCATGTCGCACCGTTTCGAATCATCTCTAGTAAATAAATTGTAATAATTGTGTAAAGAAAGAATTAATAAAGTAATTTAATATGTATATATATGCATATATGTATGCGTGTGTGATGTGCATATGTATATACGTTGAGGAGATGGGAGTAGGAGAGAGAGACGAAAGTGCGATTCGCGCGCAAGAGAGAGAGAGAGAGAGAGAGAGAAGAGAATTGTGAAACGAAACAAAAGTACCGTATACATATATATATATTTAATCGAGCAAAACTTTAGTGATTGCTTTCGATTTTTGCTGTTCGAATGCCTCTCGAACGAGACAGTGATTTACTAAGAAGGAGAAGAAGAGGAGAAAGAACAAAAATAATGAAAAGAAGGATGCGAGCATATTTCTAACGAACGATGTTTTTAGATCGAAAGGAAATAGCCCGATCCTACGACGAAGAATTAGAGAAACCACTGTGCTTCGAACCATGGAGTAGAGATAATTCCCATGATGCCCTAGTAGCTAAGTTCTATTCGCCAAAAAAAAAAAAATAAATAAATAGAAATAAAAATGCTACTCTTTTTCCGCTGATTTTAACGAAGATTCTGGACACGGATCGTTGATTAATGAAAAAAGAGAAGAGGAAAGAAAAAAAAATATGGAGAAAAAAGTTAAACGGAGATTGTTCCGTTCGAATTGCACGTTTTGAACGATCGTGGCTATATAGTAGTATAGTTAAGCACTGTATATGTCCGATATTGTACGCTTGATGAACAGCAAACGCTTGAATTAAGATGAATTGTAGTTTATTGTTATTACAATCATGTTTTTTTGGATTTGTACCGTTTCGTTGGTTCTTCGTATCGTAGAACTATGGATTTAATCGATTAAAAACAGAAAAGGAAAACAAACCACATCTATATGTATGTGTAAGCTCGTTTCGTTGCGAAAAAAACGTTAATAAATAAATAAAGAAATAATTTGCTCTGAAATTCTTCTCTCGATTGGTCTGAATACTTCTATAGATAAAATGAAAGGAGAAGAAAAAAAACGAATGTATTGTTTCTTTTTTTCTCTCTCTATCTCTATCTATCTATCTCTCTATCTCTCTCTGTCTCTGTTCCCGCTCTTTGAGAAAACGCATGTGCAAGATTCGCAAACGACGATGAAACATGACGCAGTCAAATTTCGTATTAAACTTCACCGCGTTTACGCAGGCTCAATGTATCGATATATTCTTTGTATACTCCTGGAGATTAATCTCGTTTTGTAAAGTGTCTTACCTTTGTTAGTAATCGTGTCTGTCTACTCTTTTTTTTTTTTCTTTCTTTTTTCTACGACAAATAATCATTGATCTAATTAAAATAGCAAACAGGTTAACGATGTAAGTCTCGATTTAACGATTTATCGCCGATAAATGCGACGCTGATTGAAAAGAAGGAATTTTTCCAAATGAATTTATCCGCTTACATTTTAATCGTAGCTTCTCTAACTCCGTAAGATTCACCTAAATTTCTGCTACACCGAAGAACGGCACGTTCGATTTCTTTCGAAAGCATACAACAGAGAAACAGAGCTTAGGACTCCGTCTAATTAATTACCGTGACTCTGTACCTTGCACCTACTCTGGTCCATCTTCGAAACATACTAACGTAACACCAAACCGCGTCTGTGCGTTCAACACACGTAGTCTTAAGACACGATCAGCATGAATCCCTCTTTCGATCACGAAAAAGATCGTAAACGTGTACATAAGGGAATGGCGAGGGACGCGCAAGAAGAAGAGAAGAAAAAAAAAAATGAATAGTCCGTTTTTACGCAAACGTTTAACGTAACAACAAGCACCTCCTCGACGAGACGATCGAACGGGTGCGGAAAGAAGTATAAAAAGAAAAACGAAAAAAAAAAAAAAAAATAAGTACGAAGAATTTCGGTGATTTTTTAGAAGAGAATTTTTAGAGGCGGACCTTACGGCACCTTACGCGATCGAATTTTTATAAGCTTTTTACTTTTGCACCACTAGCGATTCTGTCCGTAAAACCACTTTCTCGCGTTTTACCTCCACCATAAGGTAAGAAGCGAAGGAAAGAAGGAAAAGTTCGACGAAAGGGAGAGAAAATAAAAGCTATGTTCGTCGAAGAAAGTAACCATCACAGTTCGAGATCGATAATTAAGAACACTTCTGACTATTTTTCGCCCAGTTAGAGACGACTTAATCGAAAGATAGGTAAGGGTTCGAGGTATTTTTCGCGCAGATTTCAAAAAAAAGAAAACTAACGGTGGCAATATAAGTGGTAATGTATTCGTCACACCATCTTGTTTCTACAATAATAATAGTGTATATATATGTGTGTATATATATACATACGTATATTATAGTCAAAGTTATAGTCGAGGCGCGCACCGAGATGTGCGAGATCTTTCACACCTCGAGGATCGTCTTTTGTACGAACCTTTCTTTCTCTCGTGTATCCATACGCTTGAAGAACTCGCTTATAGGACTGTAAATGACTATACGACATCCTCTTCAGAAGTACCTTTGCCCAACCGAACCGACCGTTTTTCCACCAAAAGACGTTCCCCCTGGACTGGAAAATCGTCCGCTGTTATTCTTATAAAGCTATTTTTCATCCTGTCGAACGAACACACACGAGTTCCGTGACACATTGGACACTCGTTATTTGACTCAGCGGTGTTCACGCTATGTATCGAGTTTCATTTTCGAGAAAAATCTCCTCTTCCTCGACTACTGCTATCGCTCCCCGTCAGACTTCCGGTTCTTGTGGCGAGAAACGCGGAAAATGCGCGGAGGAACGGAGGTGACTATACCGCTACTTTCACCGTGGAGAAGTTATATAGTCACTCTAGGACATCGATAAGAAATATACTATAGTCTGTGGAATGAGTGTTTGTACCCCTTCCGGTATGGCCATGTACTATAGTCGCGTAATTGAGTCTACGAGTCGAGTATAGTCACGGATATTGAGTGGTTGAGACGCGCGTTGACTATAATTGAAAGTCTCCCGGGGCTTGTCACTGATCATAGTTCGTTCCTCTACGTCGTAGTAATCGCCCCTCTGCGCTGACTGTCAATTATAGTCACAGACTATAAGTACTTTTGGTCATTCTACGAAATATTAAGCATGTTTCTGTCACTTTAGCCCGTATGTTCAGTATAGTCACTCTGATTTGTGACTATACGATGACTGTAACCGATAACTTGAGTCGTACGATCTGGTTATAGACGACTGTACCAGAACTAAAGTCTTTCACCTAAATTAACTCGTCGACTATAGTGAACGGTCCCTGAATACTCGCTCCGGACTATAAGTTGACTATAGTCGATCGTCATTATACGCTTACTCGAGCTGAGAATTGTTTATAGTCAACGGCGAAAGAGGTGTACATTTACGAAACTCCTGACTATAATCAATTTTCTATTCTTACTCGAAATTCTTGCACGACGATTATAGTCAGCGAGCCTTAGGCTTATTAAAATTCGCTGGCTGACTGTAGTCGTGGCACACACACCCGTTCGACGACCCAATATTAAACTATGATAACTCAGTGAACTATAACCGCCTCGTTTTTACTATACGTGTTCTCTATAAAGTGAACAAGAAAAACGTCCATAAAACCACTGTACCGATCATTCGACGGCACTATTCTCACCGTTGCAACTGTAAAACGCCATACCGTGAGGGTCTACCATTACTCGCGACTATACACTAGGGAAAATTGTATTAACCGTTAACTGGTATATTGGGGTCATGACAGACCCCTGATAAAAAGTGCAGGAAAATCTGTTAATCTGATTCTAGATAAACCTCTGTGAATCTTTTGTTCTTAGATAGTGTATAAAATAATAAAGCCATGAAAAATTAAACTTTTATTGTAAAATGAAGTAGAAATACAATGTTTAAAATTAGGCAACGAAAAATGCATTTCTGCATTTACATAAAAGAAAAATTATATCACTTATTGGTATTTCTTCCGTGATCGACAAAGAAGTTTTCCTGTTTATTTACTCATCACTGGACCCACTGAAATAAAAAAAAAAGTCATTATCAGTCATCTTTCAAAAAAAAATAACAACGTTTTATCACTTACTTTTGGTCATTATTACACGAAGAGCAAAAATTTTTTTAAGTAGAATGTTACTTGCAGATGCCCTTGCATTTGTCGCACATTGTTGGATACTTTCTGTCTTTAGAAAATTGTTCAATTTTCAAAACATTTTGAATAACTCTCTTCAGATCATTTGATAGTTTATATGTGTATAGTCGGTTATGCAAATGTTGCTTTTATCAGGGTCTTTCCTAATTCAACGTTGAATATTTGTCGCGTGTTTTTATCTGCTAGATTGGCTGCTTTGTAAATGACAAATGCATTGACTTGGAAGATATTGAAAATCGCAAAAAAAAATGGTTAGAGGCGATCTACGGCTTCTTCTGTTGGCACGTTTCCGGTCCAAACTCTCAACACCGGTTTCGGTGGAGTTATAAAATTCGTTTATCTCTGGTTTTTTAGAACGTTGGTTCACGATATTGATATGGTGCATGGAAGATAGGAGCAGCACGCATTTATTTTTCTTAGGAACATAAAATACCAATGTTCTATCTCTAGTGAATCCAAAAAGAGAAGAGTTTACCTCACGACGTTTATGGGCTTGAAACTCTGGAGGAACTCTTTTATTCTTTCTCACGGTGCCCACATAAGTGAGACCTTTGGATTTCAGCTCGTTGACAAGTTCGTTTGATGTGAACCAGTTATCACCGGTTACATTTCTATTGGTGTTTTCAATAGGTTTTACGAGTGATAGAACAGCTAGCGTTGGTACAGATAATTCCCTGGGATTATTTCTCTGCCGCAGAGAATTCTTGCCTGTACAGATAAAGGCATTGATCAGATAATGTGTTTCGGCGTTACACAAAGACATCATTTTTATGCCGTATTTGGCTGGTTTGCTTTTGATATACACCCTGAACTTACATTTACCTCTGAAAGGCACAAGCATCTCGTCAACTGTGGCATATTCAGAGCATGTACAGTTTTCCTCGCAATTATTGACAAATTTTTGGAAAATGTCCGAAATTAGGTGCAGCAGTTTCACCAGCTGCAAGTCTTTCGGCACGGTTGCCTGTATCGTCAAATCGTACAGCAGTCGAAAGAAATAAAAATCGCTCGAGGGACATGGTTGTTCGAAAGATATCTCTTCCTTTTCTCTACCTGATTTGAACACTCGGAGCTCAACTATATCCTCATGGTTTGTAAAGGAAGCATTGTCACTTCTATATCTAGAACTAAGCTCAGTTATTTTCGCATTAGTGTGTTCCAAAAATTTTTCTAAAATGTCCTCTGTAATTAGCAGCTGCCAGGCCTCGTCGGACATAGATGGATTCATTGCACGAGCTCTTCTTTTCAGTCCAGGACGATGTGAAATAATATTGTGTGCCGCTGTGCGAGTAGTACGCGTTGGAGGAATTTTCGACTATTTATAACGATTTCTTTCCATAAAAGTAGTTATTAGATGACATTGAAATATCTCTGAGTTCCTCTTCCTCCTCTCGTATTACGTCTGCGTTTTCTTGCTGTGCCTCATCTTCGGAATTACTTTCCTCAGACCACGTGTTGTGATCGCAGTGTACACTCTCTGCGTCCGATAAGTCGTTATCGCTCTTTAAAATGTCACATCATCAATATGTCCTCAAGCTCTTTATCGGTCAAATAGTTGGACGCCATGGTATAATTTTAAATAGTACTGTTAATTCCAAATGTTCTTGGAATTGGTAATATTTAGTAAATAAAACACGGTTATTTACAACACAATAATTTATTCTAAAATTCACTATTCGTTAAGCTCTTTTTCCAGTCGCGAGGTGATCAGTTCAAGTCCTTGGTTTGTTCTGATTTGATGGAGGGAGGACGCTTTCCACCGAAGTGGAGGCAAAATACTCCCTCCATCGTCCGGGAAAATTCCCTCCAAGTGGTATCTTGAAAGGAACTGCAGAAAAGTGAGACCTAGGATTGTCCAATTAAAAATTGGGGCGGTTTCCCGATTGCGCAACGCCTACAGGCCAAGTGTTCATCCGGTAAACAAGGCCTGCAGGACGTCGCACAAAACGTCCCAGTTCGAAAAACCGAAAACCCATAAATCCTAGGTCCCTCTTTCGACTGCGTGTGGGCTTACGATGCGTCAATTGCCGTTCAGGTGGTCTGGCTGGCAATCCTTCTAGAGAAAGTTGTTATTGTTTTCCAGCCAGACCCAAGTCCGTGCGAAAATATACATCTTTTGAAAATACTTGACTTTCTCAAAAACGGCACTGTCCCGTGTCGACGCAGCGTAAGCCTGAACACATGGCCTTAACAAGTACACCGGGGTCAATGCTGACCCCAACTGTGTGTAACTCGAGAACAATGCAAACGGATAGCACACGCGTAAGGCACTGCCTAAATGCTAAGAAATTATGAAGGTATTGCGACGCACGGAGCGGTGTTACCAATAGAACCAATTTTGTAACGGAATTTGTGTCCTTGGGGTGATGAGTGACCCCAGTCGTTATACCAGTTAAGGGTTAATATATATAGATAGATCCGTGAAGAGGATACGGTACCAGAGTTCGGAGAATTATAGAGAAGAAGAAAAAAAAAACAAACAAAATGATGAACGAAAGGTGGAAATAAAAAGGGAGTAGCGTAGTTATTAAATTAGGATAACGCGCTGATCCAAGAGGGGATCGTGGAGTGAAAAAGATAGAAGAGGAGGAAACTAAAACGAACGCGTGGCTGTGCGAGCGAGCGAGACGACGGAGTGCCTGATGCGTGAGAGACAGATAATACTCGTTCGCTGTGGTGGATGGAGTGGGGATGGGGGGAAGCGAAACCGAGGCATGTACATACATCTATATGTATGCAAAATGTATAAAATAACAGAGCGCATATACATGGAATATGCATATGTATGTATAGGTAATTAAAAACAAAACAGACAAAAAAAATGAAAGAAAAAAAAAAGGCGGGAGAAGTAAAAGAAACACGACGACACTATATGCGATTATTATGGAGAAATGGAAGAACGGAGGGAGAAACACTAGCGAACTCTTACTACGATATTGCTATATTCACGAAGATTTGTCATCACCGACTTACTTCCAGTTATTTAAAAAAACATAAAAAACACACGTAAAAAAAAAAGTAAGCAAAGTAACGATGTTCTCTATGAATCTTAAACGACTCTATACCGACGAATCACACGATGATTAAAAAACAGATAAACGTATCGTTCGCTTCGCTACCAAGTTCACTTTGTCGAGATGTTTTCAGTTTTACACGATTCACACACACGAGAAAGAGAGAGAGAGAGTGCGAGAGAGAGAGAGAGAGAGAGAGAGAGAGAGAATAGATATCGATAAATCGGTAATTATCGTAGAGATAAATCAGTGGATGTGTTTTAAGCGAGGATCGAACGCCTCCGTTTCCCAAACGGAGATTCTATATGATAATATGATGATTATTATTATTGTAGATTTTGTGGTTTATTTAACAATAAAACGATAACGTTAACAGACACTGCGGTTTCATTCACGACGATCACGCCAAGCGAAGAAAAAAAAGAAGGGAAGAGAGTAAGTATGCACGGGGGAATCAAAACTCGACCAGATATTTATTTTTATAAAACAAATTTATAAATATACATGTTGAAAGAGATTTTTGTTATATACAAGTAGTCTTTTCGAACAATTTAACTTTCAAAGACTTCTTGCTGGACGACATTTTGAATTGCTCAATCGTTCAACGAGAGAACTGACATCAAACGTTTTACCCCTCGATGCCCTTGATTCGTATTAATATGTCGTAAATCTGCCACGTGTCTTCACACATGCCTAGCCTTCGAATCATGAATCTGATGCTATATAGTATTTGTGCTGACTAAGTGAGCGGCCATGTTGGAAACATTATAACGGAAAAAGAATCCGTCGATGGCGCACGGGTAGTTCAGTTAACTACAGATAACGCGATCGTACGATCCCTTTCGTTTCCATTGGCGGAAAAACGAAACCTACCAAACGCGAGATCGAAGTTTCAGGATAGAAAGTATTGTAATAACGAAGTAACGGTAATCAGCCAAGCAGGACTTTTCTTATCATGGCGCCACTGACCACCTCGTCTCCATCTCGTGACTCTATACATTTTCTGCTACAAAGGTACTGCAACAACGGTAGACGATACTTGCCACAAAAATCGACGAATTTCACGTGTTCCACTCTGTTGTTGAAGAAGACACCTACGGATAGAAATCTCTTTAGGAAAATTATCTTCCAAGAAATGGAAATACCGAGAAGCTTGGCATTTATGCTTTATCATGCGCTGTAATGTGTTTGTCTTAAATAAATTTTGACGCAATTACGATAATGCAAACAATAATGGAAGAAAATCGGTAAAACTTTGAACTTTGATCGAGACTAGCATCTGACCTTTGCACTTTGGATTGACGCAACTATGACCACAGTTCAGATATTCTACCAGGTTTCTAGGTATGATTTCTTCGTCATACTGGATAACATTAGTCTTGATCACTCTTGCGGCTAGTTCCATCAGGGATGGAGGATTGTGCGTCATATCTGAGACGAATCTCACTACCAATGGATTATCTCTTAGGGACAACTGAACAGAAAAATATACAATGTTACCAACAAAGTGTGAAATCCAAGCGATATTTAAAATGTAACAATTCAAAAATATTATTTCATACGTTGCCTAGGGACTATGTCTATATAGACAATGTATACATTGGCGATAACATACACATTTCACTTGGATCCTCATACGGATTCCTTTCAAAGTAGATTCAAGCTACCTCTGTCAGACACTTCAGTGTGATGATCTCTGTGGGCAGTGTCCTCAGCCTGTTCTTGTGAAGCAGTAGCGACTTCAGGTTCGTCAACTTCGCTATGGAGCTTGGCAAACTTTCCAGCATGTTGTCACAGAGTACCAATGCCTGAAGAGACTTTAATTCGCCTAGTGTGAATGGTACTTCCGTCAGTCTGTTGCTCCCCATTGATAACACCAGCAATCTGAAAGGAAATGCGGAAACATTGATTGAATTTTCTTCGTGACTTTTTATTACATTTATGAAATTTCTTTTTTCTTCTTTTATTTTGTGTAACAAAAATCCACCCCAATTTGATATCCTTTAAAAAATAATAATAATTTGATTAGGAAATTGTTATCAGAGAACTTTAATTTCTCACGAAACTTCAAAAATTACCGACACAAGCTACTGAAATATTTCACGAAACTTCGAACATTCAATGTGAGCGTAATAATGAACGAAAGAAAAAGTACCGTTGCATTTTCCAGACATCCTTGCTGATCTCGCTGATGTGATTGCCGCCCAAATAAAGGTACTTGAGATCCGTCAGTTCGAGGACTTGTTCTGGAAAGTCTGTCAGCCTGTTTCCACTGAGATTCAATTCTCTGAGTCCGGATAAATTCTCGAAACTCTTTGGCAAGGAATCGTTCGATAAATTATTATGTTTCGCTACTAAACAGGAGAGTGGACAGTCTCCAAGGAAGTCTGGCAGTTCGGTTAAGCCACAGTTAGATATATCCAGTGAATTTAGGTTCGTGAACCTGATTATAGTTGACGGAATGTTGGTCAAACGATTTTGATGAAGCAGCAACGTATCCACGTGTTCTGGACACTTTGCATTTGCAAAATGATTGTTCAGCAGATGCGTGTCAAGCATCAGATAAGACAGATCCAGTGTCTTAGCGTTGGAGTCTGAGTCGCTCGAGTCTGACGTGTAGTTCTCCATTAATAATGCTTGGTAAACTTTTTCGATAAATTCGACTTCCTTGAAAGTAAAAGAAACAATGGAATTATTTAGTCTTTTTAATTACATCCTTTTAGGGGGATTTTTTGGAGAGGACGGAACGTTGCGGATTTTGCAAGAAAATCTACTTAAGAAAACACTATAGGTTATAAATATTTTTTACAAATTATTTGTGAGGGATTTGAGAAATCAGCGATAACGAAAGTAAAAATAATTACAGGTTTGAGAGAACATTTTTCCTTCGAGATGTGCAAGTCATTTTCTAAAACTAACTGCGACGAGTCTTGATAAATCTGTCTGAAAAAGTTTGGAACACATGTAAGCAACATGTTTTGTATTTATTCTTGAAGTAAAATCTCATCGACAACGAGGAATTTTTTATTTTATACTTCTTACGGAATATTCTTTTGCTTGCTGCATCTCTAACGGGGAATAGAACAGATATTTTTATATCGAATATCGCTGTTTAATGTGAGGCACTAAATCAACGGACAACGACTTTCATTAGTTGTTTACATTACCGACAGTGTCACGTTACGTAAAAAGACGGGGACGAGGAAAACGCGCGTATTTATTGACACATGATTCTGGAGCAGATGATAATTCTTTCTCTCGAAATAATGACTTGCTACATTTCTTCGAAGAAACATTTATAATTTTCAGGCTCGAAACAATGAAAAAATTACTACGTTATATAGAATATACTTTTATTTCGAATTTTCAATTAGTGTCAAAGGATTGATTAGGAACGTGAGTCCCTAAACGTATCAAGCAGCATGCCACGATTTCGTGAAAGGTCAAGAATTTTTTTCGATAACACGTATCACATACACTCGGTGACAGAGGTGATATTTGCCAATTAATTACGCGTAACAAAACGCATAATGGATGAAAAAAAGCATTCCTAGATATTTACTAGAAATAAATTCATTTTCGATATTTTTCGATTCATTAGGGTGATTTAATGTTGCAAGGGTGGTCACACTGCCATACTTCCCTTTACCTAGGACACTAAAGACACTATCTTACGTTAAAAGTTAATTAACCTATGTCAATTTTCAATCTTTCGAATAGTTCCTTTGGAAATTAGTCAAAGTTGCATAAAAGATTTTGAATGAAATTATAAAATAAAGCAAGATGTACACCACGTTTGTCATACGAAAATTTCTAGTCAATATTAAAAGATAGGAACAAGACATTCTGTATTTTACAATGTGCTATATTTAAACGTCTTTATTGTTACGTTGTATTTAATTATGAATTAAGAAGCTTCTATGTATCTAAAATGATAACATCGTTGAATTATCGTTAATTTATACGATCGTTAAATAAATTTGATTGCAGACGAAAGTGCGTACAATCGTTCGAAAAGGGGTTATGTCTTTATCTATTATAATTTCGAAGATTTTATGATCATGCACAAGTAGTACACGTAATTCTGATAGATTGTCGAACACAACAGAGTGCAAATTATTATGTAAAACTTTCCTGATAACGTTCCCTTTTTATTTTCCAGTGAAACTTCGTGTACATTTTATCAAGTCTTGGCTCTGATAACTAAAATTGTAAATAACAATTGTGAAAATTAATAACTATCGACGTGCACTCACTCACGTTACATCTGTATGGCTCAGAAGGGTAATAGTACTTACAATATCACTGTATTGAGAAATTGTTATTTATTATAAATATCATATTCGATAGCCTTCGATAACTACTTGTTTTGCATGAAACAAAGCATTATAAGCCGTCGAGAAACTAGATTAAGAAATTAATAATCACCGAACAATATCATCATTCCAATGGTAATGTTGCAAAAATACAAAAACTGGATTTTTCAGTAGAAAAGAAAACCACTTTATTGATTAATGTAAAATCAACTATGCTATTTATATTTATTTTTTTAATTAACGGATAAAATCAATGCAAAGATGATTTTACGTTAATTGGCAAAGTGATATCCTTCTGTCCTGAAATATAAAATTTTTGATTTGATATGATTACGATATGAATAAGTATCAATGATCTACATTTCCGAAGGAACGCTCTTTCCCGCCTTTGTTTCCATGTCAGATCTGTTCGACTTCCGCCTCGAACAATTTTTTCTCATCAACGGAGGAACAATACATTTATTTTTTTTAGCATGCACTTCATGCATGAACGTTTTCTAGATAATAGCAATAATTCAACCAGATAAATTTTCTACACGCTACAAAGGTTATCACCATATTAATAGCGAATTTGTACGTACAAGAAACGAGAATCTTGAACTTAAGAGACTCACGTGACTTCCGCCACCACCGCGACACAGTCACCGACACAAAGTCGCGAAAATTGAAATCAATCATCCACGGTATTTCACACGCGTGATGAACCTTCGAAACATTTGCATTGCGTAAAACAACCCTATTTCCATGTATCCTTTTACCTCGTTGCAATCTCGCCTGTAGTGACTCGTTTCTCCCCTCTACGTTGCTCGATCGTTCTTGTCGTTCACTGTCACGAGTTTTGCGGCATGTTCCTTCGCGGATCCCAAGGAAACTGAATCGTACGATCACTTCGAGATGCGTGAACGTTACGCTAGAGACTGAACTATATGTGGTTTTATCAGTCCTTGTATAAGTTGCTTCGGAAGCGTCTTATAAATGGACAGCTGATTATGCTATAGTGCCGTTGCAATATATGAGCAACACATGTTGAAACAAATTTGGATTTTGGATTTGGAGATTATTCAAATTCTATATCATACGTCTATGACATAAAGTTTACAGAAAGAATATTTGTATAAAATAAATGTTCGATTAATATCCACTTGCAACTCTTAAATCGATTCCGTAATCAGATTTAAAGATATGTTTTTGATAGAAGTGCATTGTATATACATAAACGTATGATTGGTTGGTGTTTCTGTTCCTTTATCGTGTACGAATAAAAAGTTATAATTGAAACAGTACTACACGTCTACCACCCAGCCATGTGCGATTTTACGTCTGTTACATGAGTAACTCGTGCGTGATTAAGTGATTATTGAAAACGTCCTATATTTTAGTAAGGTAAATAACGTGTTCTTGACATTTTTTTATGTAAAAAATGTGGACATAAAAATAAATAGCACTCGTTATATTAATTAGTGATCACTTTAAAATATAAATTGGTCACTGAAACAAGGCATGAGATTTTTGAGGTTAATAAAGAGCCGGAGAACATTTATCCTAATTTGAAAAGTTTAAATAAAATAGTGAGAATTCAATGTCTGTCAAAATGTATTTGCGTCCAATATCATTATTATATATAAGGACAGCACAGTTGTGTACAACATTTCAAAAGCCTGTTTTGAAGCAGCATAAACATATACAACTTCTTCACAAAAGTTTAGACGAAAAATTTGGAGATATGTTCACACATACCAATATTAGCAAAGAAACATGGGAAAGTATAAGAAAGTATATGATGGAGACAGAGTTACATCCATCAATTGTTGATTCTGTCATTCTAAAGCTATTTAAAAATAAAAATTTGGTAGATGTTGGCATATTATATTATAAATTTTTAGTAAACAATAACTGCCATTTGAATGTGATTACACAAACTACGTTTTTGGAATTGTATGAACATAAAATATCAATTGATGAAACAGACAAAGAATATGTTTTAAATTTATACAAATATTTTATAAGTGAGTATTCGTCACTTGAAATAAACATGAGTACTGCTCTTGTTGTAAGCTTATGTAAAATTGGTGAAAGTAAGAAAGCTATGGAAATTATAGAAAGATTTGAAAGAAACGATCAGATATTTCTTCGTGTTGCATATGATGTATTAATTTCACATTTATATGATTGTGGAGAAGCAGATAAAGCATATGAATATTTACTTATTTCATTCAAAAAAGGTCCAGGACCTCTAAATGGTTCATATATCTCATATTGGAAATATCATTCAAAAGATAGGTGTACATTTACTCAAAAAGTTGAGAGGTTATTTTCTTTGTGGAGGAAATATGGTATTAAACCATCTGAGGAATCTATACGGAAATGTATGATGATTTGCAATGATCTTGGTTGGTCTGCCAAATTAACAAAATTAGATGGGTAAAAGACATATTAAAATATAAGTGTACAGACATTCTAATGTTTTTAATTAATCTGTCTAAACTTAACATATCCTTTATTTGTTCTTTTTATTTGTATAGATTAAAATGTACAGTATGTAAGCAAGAACTGTCACAGATTTTATCCAAGAAGGATTATGAGCGCTTGTGCAAAGTTGTCAAAGAAAAATTGATTTTTGATAATCTGTATATTGTTTCCAATCCAAAAGAAGTACAAAATTTTATAAAATACATTGAGAAAGGAACACCATATGATATTATTGTTGATGGGTTAAATTTTATTTGTAGGTCGTTTGGTAGTTACAAACAGGTTAGAAGTTCTATATAATTTAATAGCAACAATGATATGCAATAATATTGTAATACCAATTATTGTATAATTTTTATCTTTACAAGCATTGCAATGTGAATTATCGATGACAAATAATTTTGATATTTTTCAGTTGCAACGACTTATTGTGAAACAAGCAGGGGAAGGCAAAAAGGTACTAGTCATTGGAAGAAAACATATAAAGAAGCATATAATAGAAAACAGTTTGGCAAACTATTTCTATGTTGATAACATGTGGGTATTACAATGACGTATATCAGTTTTCTAGTATGTAGAAATTTATATTATATTATTTCAATATTGCAGGTCAAAAGATGATCTGTTTGTATTATACGCAGCATTGTCAAGTGGACCAAATGCTAAAGTTATTTCTAACGATTTAATGCGCCAGCATGAATTTATTATTAATGATGTTGAACTGCAGACTCTCTTTAAGAAATGGCAAATAGCGCAACAATACAGTGTACAATCAAGTTATAATCTGCAACAATTAACTAAAATCAGTACACCTATTGATGCAATTGTACAGAAGCAATCCAATTGCTGGCATATACCATATAATATTGATGATTGTCAACCTAGACAAAGACATATATCTAACGATGACTGGGCATGTTTCAACACGTGTCCATGAAAATTATACACTTTTTTGCAAACTTTATCGAATTTTAATTTTCTTTGTACCAAATTTAGCCTTAAGAAGTATATTTATTTAAGTAAGTAAATAAATTTGTTAAAAACCATGAATATAAATTTATTACTATTTGGACTATTATAATCTAATAGATCATTTCATATTTTATTGCACAGTTCAGATTTCATGTATCACGTTCTGAAATACCGATCGTACAAAAAATTAGAGGTTTTATTATTCCCTCTACGATATAGAGCGGAGATTTTGAGAATTATATCCAATCTAATTATCAAAGGTGGTAAAGTTGATAGATATAAAAAATGCTATTTTGTACCTTGTCTGTGCTTATAGATAAACTTCATAAAATTTTGGTATATATAGTATGTCTAACTTATTGAAGGAATCATGTCGATAACAGAAGGCTCTCAGTATTAAAGTATGCTACCAGATGACGTGTAAAGCACTATCAGGCATAGACATGATACAATTGGTGTCATACATTCCAGTTTGTGCTTTTCAATGCAACAGGTGTTACGAATCGTCGAGTTTTCGCGTGAATTTTTAATACTACGCTGTTATACGTGTGTTTACGCGGGTTTGCATATCCTTCGACAAATTCCCGCAAACTTGATATGTGCTATCGTTTCTTTCACTATTGTATATCTTAGTCTAAAACGCGTGTGTTTGGAAAGTGACTTTTCAAACTTGAAAGGCACATTTGGGGAAACGGAGTTATAGGGAGAACGTGAGGCAAGTATTTGTTTATCATTTGTACGGGAATAAAATTCGGTACTCTGTGTGTCGCTGCTACCGAAAAACCATTTCATAGTTCCGTAGTTCACTTGCAACAAGACACGAAGTATTTAGGTTATTCGTGATTTAATTTCAATCGTTGACACGTGCGTGGAAACGAACATAATTTATTTGCCGTTTCTATATGGACGTAAATAAGAACAACCTCTATACATCGCGAAAAATAGGTGTCCTATGTCATACGCACGAATAGCTCAATGTTATTGTATCTGAGCTACTGTCAAGCGAATTAGACTTGAAATATAGCGGATAAATTATACTTTTCGCGAAACGATGACAGTGATAGTCGATAATGAGCATCGTACGATCGTATCGTTAGAGGCATCGAGAGTGGGCAACCATTTTTTCCCCGATGATTGCCTCGCTTTGCCATAGACTATAAAGGATCTGCTGTTTGACAGTTAAACATTAAACGTGTAATCTCGCGGATGCGTGCGATATCTATGTTACGTTGTGTTCATTTCGCGTTGTATATATTATATATACGTTGCTTATTCCTATATTAGAAAAATATATTTTTAAATAGAAGTAAAAGAGAAATTCTCGGGAATTCAGTCGATAATGAGCATCGTACGATCGTATCGTTAGAGGCATCGAGAGTGGGCAACCATTTTTTCCCCAATGATTGCCTCGCTTTGCCATAGACTATAAAGGATCTGCTGTTTGACAGTTAAACATTAAACGCGTAATCTCGCGGATGCGTGCGATATCTATGTTTATCTATGCTTATTCCTATATTAGAAAAATATATTTTTAAATAGAAGTAAAAGAGAAATTCTCGGGAATTTCGAACGGCGGTGAAAAGTGTCGTTAAAAAGCGGTCACGTGACAGTGACGTCACAACTGTCAAAGTACATCTTCGTTCGGTACGAAACGGGAAGTTTAAACGCGTTTGCGCGCGAACGAAGACGTGAATCAGTGGAATTATTTAAGCGAGTCAATTAACGTGGAGCATACATCTTGAAAAGGAGGTTATCTAGTGAGAAATGAGTCAGGTTAGTTACGAGTTCCCTGAACATGTTTCCTACTTCCATCTTTTTTTGTCTCGTACCGTCCGATCTAAACCTGAAATGACACTTTGCTGACGACTTACACACAGGCGTGTCTCTAACGACGCGATAACTCATTTAAAACGTGAAATATCTTTTATCTTCAGGCAGCTATTTCTGAAGATTCTAACAGCATGGTGTCACAGAATTCTTGCTGCATTAATTGCAATTAATTGGACCGACGTATTCGTTCGTTTTGTAACCGTGACATATACGGCGTGTCTCGTGAAATGGTGTAACTTCCAATTACTTACACATTATGTAATGTTTTAATGCGCGATATTAAATGAATTATTCAATATTGGAATCGTGTGAAATGTATATTTGAATGAGAAACGGTACATAACCCTGTTTAAAAGTGCAAGGGGAAATGAAATTGACCTTGAAATCCCGACAGCGCCTCCACCTGGTAGAAAATCGCGGAATAGACACCGGTGTAATTAACAATGTCGATAATCCTCGGTTCTAGCGTCGCAAAAGTGAATGGCCTGGCTCTCGTACGCAGAGGAAACCCGTTTCTACGCGTGGGTGGCGCAAAAATATCGGAACCTACGCGAGTTTCACGCATTTGGCGCGTTTCAGCAATCGAACGTCCCTTGGCTTTTGCGTTCGAGGCAGGAAAACGTAGGCACGTTGCGCACCACCACCGGGACAATTACTATATATGTACCGACTATTCCGATGTTCGTCTCGTAGAGTCCCCTAGTGCCACCTATAAACTCAAACATTCGTCTGTTCGAATAGCGTTGCTTAAATTGTCGCGCTAGAGGAGTAGTTTTACCAGCTGTTCGATCACATCTGTTGAAATTAATTCAGCGAGTATACGCGCGTATTCTAAGTAACTATTTAACGCCCACTGTATGTGTCGCTTTAGGATTCTTTCAGTGTGCGGTAACGAGATGAAGTTGACTGTTTATTGCTTGAGTAGCGCTCGATGGACGGTCGATTTTCAGATGTTTTTCATGGGAGATGATGTTGTATATCACTTCAGTGTTGTATATTAAAGGGATGTGTCCAGTTTGAAAGTGTTGAAAAATCGATTTTTCTTTTTTTTTGCATACTGGACTTTCCCTTTAAGGAAGAACTTGAATGTAATAATGAATTTTTGTGCGACGATTCTGATGTAAGATCAAAACAGATTTATTTTCTATATATTTTTTATTTGTTCAAATTACAATATTTCTTCGTTTTTTTTCTTTTTTTAACGATTTACGTAAACGAAGCATCATTTAACACTTTACCGACCGGTAGCCTATTAATCGGCTTTTTGTTACCAACGCTTACCGACCGGTAGCCTATTAATCGCTTTTTTGCTACCGACGCTTTTCGACCGATAGCCTATTAATCGGTCAAAGTTTGATTGAACATTTCTATAGGTATAAGAAAAAGCGCATATATTTCCGCACGAGAGCCTAGAGTCTAAACAGAGCCGGTGTCAGCGATGTATCTGTGGCCGAGTGAGCGGTCCAGAAGTGCGTAGGATGTTCAATCGTTACCGGTCGGTAAAGTGTTAACATCCAAATTCTAACCTATTATAGATAAATATAAAAATCTTGAAATATTTACCCAAAAAAAAAAAGAATGAACGAACCTTTACGTGCATGATATTGAAAAGATTCCAAGATGGAAAATTGAAGAAATGATTAAGGAAGGGACTAGAGTCGGGCACAGGGTGTTACAGGCCTCCTCAAGAGCAGTTATGAGAGCACTTTGGCGCGAACAACGGTCCAATCCTTCGAAACGGTAGCTAAAGCCTCCGCGTGTATGGCCACTTACTTTTATTACGGCGTTTCATCGTTTTACGATACGTCGCCATTATGCGTTTCACCCTCTGCTCGCTTCGTTAGCAGTGAAACTATGCCCGTGAAAATATATACAGCTCGAGAGTGTGAAAATTGATACGGATGGCGTTGAAACAGGGTGAATAGAAAAAATTGGAAATAACTTTAACGTATGGGTGTGAAGATGCGGGGGTTTGTTTTATCGGATTTCACGTGTTGTTTCTTTGGTGGTTAAAATTGTGGTAGTAAAGTGGAATTTTGGGATTGTTCGAGGATGATGATGGAAAAACGAAATGAACGTGGTGGAGAGTAAATTGGATATTTCGAATTATTGTGGAAGCACTTTTAATTGAACGGAGATGATCCTTCGTTGGTGAGAAGAAAAATTACGGTTGATTAGAATTTTATACTTCGATATGCGTGTAAATATTTATTGAGCCCAAATTCATTGTAGTAATATATTCAATTATTGATCAGTATTTTATGATGAGAATTTCATTTTTGATGCTAATATTTATTACTCAGTACTAATACATCGCTATAATCACACATCCCCAAGTTGATCGCAGTAATATGTTCAATTATTGAACAAATTTTGCATTCATCAATATTTTATGACCATCGTTTAATTTTTAATGCTAATATCTGTTACTCAATACTAATTGTCATAATCACAAATTCCCAAATTGATTATAGTAATATATTCAATTATTGAACAGATTTTGCATTTTTCTAAATTAAAAAAGAATGTAAGAAGTAAGGATTAATAATCATTATAAAGAAATTGTCTGGTAATAATGTAATAGTACAACAATATAACTATTAATAAACGAATGAAATGAGACGTAGAAAATACAGATGAATCGGTACGTAACTTCCAGGTCACGTGGCGTTACAGAGGGTTAAATTCTAATTTGCCAAGTGTAACGGTGAATTTTTAATTTTGTCGCCACACGATTCAGAAGTTAAATCGAAAATTTTATTTAAAAACTTTCTGCCTGCATTTCTTAGTCTCTGATAGTTGCCTGTTGAAGTAATAAACACAGCAGTGTTTATTGAAACGCAAAGTGTTACGCGGTGCACTTAGCTTCCCTGAAAAATGTTCGTAAGAAGGTGGGGCAAATGGTCGAACAGAGGAGATCAACACCAGTAGGCATACATCTGGATAAGATAAAACTTATCCCACCTACCTGGTTCGTTGACATCTACCACCAACTATCTCCCTTATCAGGCGTGTAACGTGTGTAGCTGGTGATAACGTATTCGCGGGCACAATTGCACTATTGTCGTCCAGAGGTTCATTTTTTCCTCCTCGATTGTCGGTGTACCAGCATGAAAATACGTACTGATAGCGGAC